AGTTAGAGAACTTCCTTTGGAGTCTTGAGCAATACTTCAAGGCATCCGGCATCCAAGAGGATGAGGTAAAACTTCGTACCGCTCCACTATACTTGGTCGATGTTGCAATGGTGTGGTGGAGGCGACGTGAAGCGGACGTCGAAAGAGGTACTTGTGTGATGGTAACGTGGGAAGATTTCAAGAGAGAAATCAAGAGGCAGTTCTACCCAGAGAACGTGGAATTTGAAGCCCGTTCGAAGTTGAGAAGACTCACCCAGAGGGGTGGAGTTCGAGAATACGTGAAAGAATTCTCGGAGCTGCTTCTAGAGATCCCGGACATCACGGACAAGGAGGCCATGCACGGCTTTCTTGATGGGCTGCAACCATGGGCCAAGATGGAGATGCAACGTCGAGGAGTGCAAGACCTTGCAACTGCCATGGCCACGGCGGAGTCTTTTGTCGAGTACAAACGGCAAGAGAGCAGCGGCAAAGAGAAGAGTTCGAAGCCCAACAAGGGTGGAGAACAGCAGAAGCCTTTCAAGGAGGGCACTCGCGCTCAACAACATCAAGGTGGTTCGAGCAAAGGGGGTAAGTACGAGCCAAAACCCATGTCTTGCTTCCTTTGCGACGGACCACATCGAGTGCGGGATTGCCCAAGGAAGGCGAGGTTGGCGGCCATGGAAGCTCAAGAAGAGGAGCCCAAGGCGGCGGAGGCCAAGATTGGCTCAATCCGCAAGCTTGGCGCGGCAAAGACCGACGTCAAGGAGAGCAAGCGTGGGAGGTGCTATGTTCTGGCGCAATTCATGCAAGGCGAGTCAAAAGCCTTGGTGGATACCGGTGCCACGGACAACTTCCTTCGCATCGAGGAGGCAAACCGGCTGGGTATTGCTTACGAGAAGGGGCAAGGGAGGCTCAAGACGATCAACTCGGAGTCCATCCCAATCCATGGAGTTGCTCACAACGTGCCAATGAAGCTCGGCGAGTGGGAAGGTCTCATCGACTTTTCCGTCGTCACCATGGACGATCACCCAGTCATCCTCGGCATCAACTTCCTCGACAAGGAGGGAGTGCTCTTGAAGCCCAACTCCAACACGATGTGCTTGGAGAAGGAGGGGGAGTTTCACACGATCCATCTCTTGCGAGAAGATGGCCCCCATAGTGCTCTATCGGCCATGCAAGTGTTGAAGGGGTTCAAGAAGAATGAACCAACCTTTCTTGTGTCCTTGAAAATGGAGGAAGAAGGAGGCTCAGCGGGAATCACAACTCCCATCATCGAAGGCGTCCTCGAAGAGTTCGATGACGTGATGCCATCGGAGTTGCCCAAGAAGCTGCCACCAAGAAGAGAGGTGGACCACAAGATCGAGTTGGAGCCAGGAGCGAAGCCCCCTTCGCGAGCACCATACCGCATGTCGCCGCCAGAGCTAGAAGAGTTGCGGAGGCAGCTCAAGGACTTGGTGGACGCAGGCTACATGCGGCCATCGAAGTCACCTTTTGGAGCACCGGTGCTGTTCCAAAAGAAGAAGGAAGGGTCGTTGCGGATGTGCATCGACTATAGAGCCATCAACAAGTTGACGGTGAAGAACAAGTGGCCGATTCCCAACATTGGCGATCTGTTCGACCAGCTTGGAGATGCTATGTGGTTCACCAAGCTAGATCTTCGCTCGGGCTACTATCAAGTGCGGATAGCAGAGGGCGACGAGCCAAAGACGGCTTGTGTGACGAGGTATGGCTCTTACGAGTTTCTTGTGATGCCATTCGGTCTCACCAACGCACCAGCCACGTTTTGCACTTTGATGAATCAAGTGTTCGAGCCATTCTTGGACCGGTTTGTCGTGGTCTACTTGGATGACATCGTCGTGTATAGCAAAACACTCGATGAGCATGCCGAGCATCTACGCCAAGTCTTCCAAGTCCTTCGCGACAACGAGTTGTACGTCAAGAGGGAGAAGTGCACATTTGCCGCCACGGAGGTTCCATTCTTGGGGCACATCATTGGTGGAGGCAAGTTGAAGATGGATGGAGCAAAGGTGCAGGCAATCCAAGAATGGGAGCCGCCAACGAAGGTGCCAGAGTTGCGGTCATTCCTCGGCCTTGCCAACTACTATCGGAGGTTTATCAAGGGCTACTCCAACATTGCAGCACCCTTGACGGATCTCTTGAAGAAGAACAAGGCGTGGGATTGGTCGGAAAGGTGCCAAGAAGCATTCGAGGCCTTGAAGCAAGCAGTGGTGAAGGAGCCCGTGCTCGTGCTCCCCAACCCAACGTTGGCCTACGAAGTGCAGACCGATGCATCCGACTTTGCGATTGGAGGAGTGTTGATGCAAGATGGGCATCCCATTGCCTTCGAGAGTCGGAAGCTCAGCGAGACGGAGAGGCGATACACCGTTCAAGAGAAGGAGATGACGGCCGTGGTGCATTGTTTGCGCACATGGAGGCACTACTTGTTGGGGTCAAAGTTCGTAGTGAAGACGGACAACGTGGCAACGAGCTACTTTCTTACGCAGAAGAAGCTCACCCCCAAGCAAGCGAGGTGGCAAGACTTTTTGGCCGAGTTCGACTTCGTCATGGAGTACAACCCAGGCAAGGCGAATTCCGTTGCCGATGCTCTTAGCCGCAAGAGTGCAGCCGCAAGCATCAGCCAGCCCATGTTTCCTTTGAAGGAGCGGATCGTTGAAGGCCTTGGCCATGACCCCTTCGCCAAAACCATAGCGGAGTACATCAAGCAAGGCAAGACTCGACGGTTTTGGATGAAGGATGGGCTCATAATGACCAAGGGAGAGCGAGTGTTCGTGCCAAGGTGGGCCAACTTGAGGAAAGAGATCATGAAGGAGTGCCATGACTCCAAGTGGGCGGGCCATCCCGGCATCGAGAGAACGCAAGCGCTCATCGAAGAAGCATACTTCTGGCCGCGTATGAGAGACGACGTGGAGATGTATGTGAAGACTTGTCTCGTGTGCCAACAAGACAAGATGGAGCAGAGAAGCCCGGCAGGCTTGCTAGAGCCCTTGCCCACACCTCAACGACCATGGGAGAGTGTAAGCATGGACTTCATCATCGGACTTCCCAAAGTCGATGGATGCGGTTGCATCATGGTTGTTGTGGACCGGTTCTCGAAGTATGGAGTGTTCGTTCCCGGCCCAAAAGACATGACGGCAGAGGATGCGGCGCGACTATTCTTCAAGAACGTGGTCAAGTATTGGGGCGTTCCTAGCAACATCGTGAGCGATAGAGATGGGCGCTTCACGGGCAGATTTTGGCGAGAGTTGTTCAAGATCATGGGCTCAGACTTGAACTTCTCGACGGCATTTCATCCTCAAAGCGACGGACAGACGGAGCGGGTGAATGCCTTGTTGGAGGTGTACTTGCGGCACTACGTGAGTGCAAACCAACGAGATTGGGTGAAGTTGATGGACACGGCACAATTCTCCTACAACTTGCACCGCAGCGAGTCGACCAACGCGAGTCCATTTGAGTTGGCGACGGGGCAGCAACCTTTGACACCAACTACGGTGGCAACGGGGTATAGAGGCAACAGTCCGGCAGCCTACAAGTTCGCTAAAGGCTGGCACGAGAAGATGGAGTTGGCCAAGTCTTACTTAGCCCGCGCTAGCAAGAAGATGAAGAAATGGGCGGACAAAAAGAGAAGGCACTTGGAGTTTGAAGAGGGCGACATGGTGATGGTCAAGTTCTTTCCTCATCGCTTCAAGCATCTCAAGAACGTGCACAAGGGACTGCTTCGCCGCTATGAAGGGCCATTCCCCATCGTGAAGAGGATTGGCGCGGTGGCATACAAGGTTGAGTTGCCGACGCACTTGGAGATCCATCCGGTTTTCCATGTGAGCCAACTCAAGCCTTTTCACGAAGACAAGGAGGATGAGCAGCGAAGAGAGTCGCATCGCGCTCCAACACTCATCACCAAGACACACGACCATGAAGTTGAAGAAGTCATGGCGCGTCGTGTCATTCCTCGTCGTGGCGTACATCCAAGCTTTGTGGAGTACTTGGTCAAGTGGCGCAACCTTCCGGAAAGTGAAGCAACTTGGGAGAAAGAGCTCACGCTTTGGAAGAACAAGGACTTGATCGAGGCATTCCATCAAGAGGACGCGACGAGGGCGTCGCGAGCATAGGTGGGGGAGGATGTCACATGTGGCCGATGACATGGCGCCAACAAGGTGACAACAAGGCTGCACATGTGTCATGCATGGAAGACTAGTAGCATAGAGATGCTCCTAGGATTCTCCACCTTAATAGAGAGCTTAATGGTGCACTTATTAGCTACATTATGGTAGTATTTATAGAGTGCATAATGGGGGGACTTAATGGGTGTATTGATGTAGTAGAGGGACATTATGAGGGGCATTGATGCCTTGTATGAGGAGAGGCCTATATAAGGAGCCATCTCCCTCACTTGTAACTCATTCCATCATTTTTGAGAGTAATACACACTAGAGAGTTCTCCCAATCCTTTGTCTCTTTGTTCTTGTTCTTTGCTTTCAAGTGAGTTGAGAGAAAGGCTGCCTAGCGCTCTAACGGATTTGAGAGCTAGGGCCGCACGATCGAGAGTAAGGTCGTGACAGTACCTGTTGAGTTGGGTTTTCACTTCTAAACACAATGAATATTTTACTGAATTTTAGAATCTTTAAAGTAGAACCTTAATCACAAATTAAAACCTATATCACCCTTATCGGAAAAAAAATTACTGAATTTTTTTAATTAATACACTCACTTGTTGTAATATTTCTATCGCGAGTTCAGGGCAATTCTCCATTGAAAATTATTTGGCACTGTACAAAATGATGGTAATACGAAAACAAAAGAGTTTTTTTATATAACTTTTATTAATAGATTCAGAAAAAAGAAGCAATTCCTTTGCCGCAGTTAATTTCCCGCGACGTAACAATTACAAAAGAAAACCAAAATCAAACCGAAGAATATTAAATGAAAAAATAGGTAATAATCAAACTTTCCCAGATACGACCGTAATCGGAAACACTGGGGGTTTAATTTTGCGACAGCTGAATTTACATAACGAAGTAGCCAGCAACAGCAGCGACACCAGCGGCGGCGGCAGAGACGGTGACGGAGCTGGCATCACTCTTGGGAGCCTCTGCGGCGGGTGCGCCGGCGTCGGGGCCGGTTCCCAGAGGACCGGGGGCGACATCGCCGTTGCCGGTGGGTGCGGAAGCCGATCCGTCAGTGGTGCCGATGACGTCATCCCCGGCGGGGGAGGCAGCAGGTGCGGCGGCGGCTGCGTCGGTGGCTGCCGGGGCGGCGGCGGAGGCGACGCCGATGACGGCGGCGAAGAAGAGAGCCAAGACGACGACCTTATTGATTGCCATTATTTTTTGGGAGCGGTGGAAATGTGCAGAGATTCTCTAATGCAGTCGTGGGATTGAAAGATAGAGAAACACCTGCAGATTTTCTTTTCTTTCTGAATTGGCGAAGTGGGAAGGAGAATTGGGTAATGGATTTATAGGTTTATCGGATGGCTGGTGTTTTGTTAGGAATTTGGGCTTGGAATTCGGGTTTAATTGACCGGCCGGAGTTTCAGGGAAGCCATAGGGTCGTCCTTGGTCGGTTCTTCGTCGTCGGGCCGATGGATCTGATCGCATTTATTTTTGGGGAGGTGGGAAATTAGGAAAAGGGGAAAATCTATTATTGGAAAAGTTTTATTTTTTCTTCTATTTTATGCCGTCTTTTAGAACTAAATCTTAACTGTTTTTCGAGTTTTTATTTTTATTTTAAGCAAATAATTATTTCAGCAATTGACAACACTGGTGTTCTAAATGAAACGACATCAAATTAATTTCGGTAATTGTTATTTCATTTTTTATAGCTCAACCTTGGCCAAAAACTTTAGAAAAAACATATTGCTATAGCAGTTAAAATGTACAATCCAAGTTTAAGGCCTTCCACCCCCCAACTTTATACATATCATTTACTGTCACTAGAAATTGACATGACAATCAATCATTTTTACTCAATCAATCATTTTTACTCAATGAACTTATCCAGAGCATATTAGAACTTGGGTAAATTCTAATTTTCCCCATTCAACAGAGCCGAACTTCCTGCTTGATTTGTACAAAGATGTCTTTAGCTTATCTATTGGACTCATTGAAGACTCTACTCTACCACATCTCTCTTCCCAAACCAGAGCTATATGCCAAGTCCATAACACACCCTTATTGTTTGACCCGGATTAGTGCCGGGTGATTAGTGTGGAACCTTGATCCGGACTCCCTCTTCTGATCTTCTCGAGATTGGAAGAATCCTGTGGAGAGTCGGGGGCGGCCCCCGTGATCTACACTCCGACGCCCAAGTTAGAATAGGATATATGATAGAGTGTAGAGAATGTAGAGAGATATAGGGTTTAGAGAGAGAACCATAAGTGGTAAAGTGATGGAAGGGAGAGAAGTCCCTTTGCTTGGAGGGTCTGGCCTCCTTATATAGGAGTCGGAGGCATCCATTGGACGCCTCCCGGTGGTGGGTGCCTCCCGTTGTAATGGACGCCTTTCGTCGATGGACGCCTTCCGGTGAATGGACTCCTCCCGGTGGTGGACGCCCCCAGGTAGGCTGGACGCCTCCCGGTGATGGACGCCCCCTGGTAGGGATGGCAATGGGTCGGGTTGGGGCGGGTTTTGTCAAACCCAAACCCAAACCCATGGGTTTATCCGCCAAAAAACCCCGGGGTAAAACCCGTTGGGTTTGAAAAACTCAAACCCAACCCAACCCGCTGGGTATCCGCGGGTTCATGGGTACCCGTGGGTTTTTGTGGTAAAAAATTTACAATAACAAGTTTCTTTCAAAATAAAAGTTTAACATCAATTTTCTCATACAAATTAATCATACAAAAAAACACCAATTTAGAGCATACAAGCAAACCGCAAATGATAAATACAAATTGTTCAAAATTAAAGATAAACATCTATAAACAAAAGATTAGTTGAAAGCTTCTTCCTCGTTAACTAAGTTTCTTCACTCTCCACTTCATAAACATAAAGAATATTAATTGTTTAAGGAAGATATATTATTTAGAATATTAAATATACCGGGAAAGTAATTATGTGTGTGGGCGGGTACCCATGGGTCGGGTTTACCTAAACCCAAACTCAACCCGACCTGGTAAATAGTGTAGCGGGTTTAAACCCAAACCCGGCCCAAAACCCGTCAACACGGGTTTTACCCGCGTTGACCGGGTTGGGTCGGGTGGGTACTCGTGGGTTCGGGTTTTGTTGCCATCCCTACCCCCTGGGTGGACTGGACGCCTCCCGGTGTACTGGACCCCAGAATGGGCTTGGGCCCAAGGTGAGACACTTTGTGGTGGGCTTGGGCCCGTATTAGGCGGGTTAATACTAGACCCAACATTTGCCCCTTTGCTTCTTGTATTCTGCAAGAATTGAAGGAGTAAAATAATGCGTTAAGGTGTATTAACCTGCCTTACTTGCGAGTCCGCACGATGCGGTTTTGCCCCTCGTGCGGCCATTGCTCGGTGATGGATGCCCCTGGTGATGGACGCCTCCCGGTGGACGTCCGCCTCCCAGTGATGGACGCCTCTAGGTGACAGTATGTCTGCCGGTGATGGACGCCCCCGGGTGGATTGGACCTTTGCGAGTTTGGACGATGCGGCTTGCCCCTTGTGCGGCCATCGTCTTTGCTTCTTTGCTTAACATTCGATGTCTTGAGTTAGAGCTCTCAAGTCGTTTGAGATTTCCCCACTAGCCCATTGCTGAGCGTGCTAATATGTAGGCCATAACTGTGAGCTATATGCATTAGGCTGTTGGATCGCGAGATGGGCATGAGCTTGTGTGCATGTTAAGCGTGAGTTGTTGGCTGAATATTAGGCGTTTTTTGTGAAAGTGCCATGTGCTGCAAAAAGGAAGGTGGGACCTCAATTAGTGAAAACCTTAATTTCTCCAATAATTTAACTACAATTGTCATAATATTTTTTATTTTCTTAGTTTTATAATAAAAATAACGAATATTTCTAATGTTTTTCAAATAAATTGCATACCCATTGGGTCGACCTGCCCCGACTCGCGACCCGTGATCAATTACCCGACCTGGACCCGCCCTGCCACGAGGCGGGTTTGGGTACCAAGAAACTTACCCCGGACCTGCCCATTGCCATTTCTAATTGCCGTCGACATACGGACCGATCGTCGCAACAAAAAACCCTAGTTAAGATTTCCGGGCTCCGCAAATCTCGGAGCAATTTTTTTGATATGGAGTTTATTTCCTAAACTATTAATTAATTGTGCTTGCCTAAAATTATTATCATTTTGGAGTATTCCAAAATTAAATGGGACACACCTTTCAAAAAAAATAAAAAAAAAAAAAAAAATGGGACACATAATATGGGGTGTGCCTACGGTGACATTCATGTCATGGTGACTTGCACTTTCTGGTCGACCTCAGTTAGGATTAGGTCGACCTCATTTAGAATTCGGTCGACCTCATATAGGATCTGGTCGACCTCATTTAGGATTCGGTCGACCTCATATAGGATCAGGTCGACCTAATTTGTTGTTTCAGTGTAAAAACAGTTCATGGTGCCTACTTTGGATATTCATATCATACAATTGGCTAGATGGAAATTGAAGACTAATGACTTGTTTTGAAGCTGGAGTGTCCCTCTACATATTGAAGTGATTGAGAGCTCGATAGGAAGTCAAGAAGACCATTTTTGAACCTCATCAAAAGGCTATGCCAAAACTGGGAAACTGCCTGGAAATGGCTAAGTCTGGAAACGTGTTTGTGAAGCCTATTTTGGAGCTCAATTCGAGAAGCATGAATGCGAGTCTAGTCCAGGAGCCTCTACCACGTTAAATTATGTATGTTTTTATACAAATTCAAGGCATTGGATGAAAGATTGGATATATGTAAGGCTTCAAACAAAAGGGTCGAAGTTGCTACGAAGGCTGTTTTTCTGGCAGACTTCGAGCACAAGCAAGCTGCCAGAAAAACAGACTTCGTAGCAACTTCGAGCCTTTTGTTTGAAGGCTTAAAGATATTCAATCTTTCATCCAATTCCTTGCCTTTGTATAAAAAAATACGTAATTTAACGTGGTAGAGGCCCCTGGACTTGACTCGCATCCATGCTTCTCAAATTGAGCTCCAAAGTAGGCTTGACAAACACGTTGGCAGACTTAGCCATTTTCAGGCAGTTTCCCAGTTTTGGCATAGCCTTTTGGTCAGGTTCAAAAATAGTCTTCTGGACTTTCTATTGAGCTTCCAAGTATTTTAATGTGTAGAGGGACACTTCAGCTTCAAAACAAGCTTTTAATCTCCAATTTCCATCTACCCAATTGTAAGGGGTTAAAGACACATTTGGTCACTGAGATTACAAAATCGGGACATGTTTAGTCACTAGAAAAATTTAATATCAAATTTGGTCACTACAATTACTAAAACTGGACGCATTTAGTCACTCGCCGTTAGTCTCCGTCCAACTCCGTTAATGAAGTCCGTTAAGTGCTGATGTGGCAAACAGAATTGCCTAATCAGCCGGATATTAACCCAACAAAAATAAAACCCGACCCGCCACGTCATTATAACCCGCCACCTCATTAAAACCAACCCAACCCAACCCAACCCATCACCCAACCCTACCCAACCCTTCTTCCTCCTTCCTCCCCAACCCAATTTAGGGTTTTCCCCATTAATCTGCCGGCCGCCCTTCCTTCATCTTCTTGAGGAATGTGGCGGTGCCGGCGGCTCGGAGCTCGGTGGTGAAGATTCAGGAAGCTACTCTTGCTCTCCTTCTTCTTCTTCTTGTTCACCTCCCCCCTCTTCCTCTCTGCCTCTTCCTTAGACAGCCATGACGACGATGAGCAACCACAACTGCCCAAGAAAAAGAGCAGCAGCAGCAGCCTATCATCATCACAAGCAACACCAAGCACCAAGCTTTCTAAATCTACCATTCCCTCTGCTAACAAGAATCAGACCATGAAACTCACCAAGAAGACTACTACCAACTCTGCTGCTATCGGAGATACTGTCTTCTTCTTCTTCGAGTGGTAAGAAGAACCAGACCAAACTTATTACCACCAAATCCTCCAACTCTACTAAATCAACATCACCCACCAAGTCCAAGGCCAGCAGCAGTAGCGATTCTCTACTCACCACGAAGAAGAAGCCCACCAATTCCACAGCTGATACTGCTCAGCTCCTCAAGAAGAAAGACAAGAAGCAGCAGCTCAATTCCACTTCCACTCCCACACCCACCAAAATCAAAACCCTAGTCTCAGATCCATCAATCAAGCAATCAACTTCCCCCAAAAACAAAACCACCTCCAAATCACCCACCACAACCAAATCCCAAACCCTAACCCCCAAGCCAGCTCCTCGAACGCGTCGGCCACCTGCGACAAGGCCGTCTGCTGCGATCTGGCGCGATGGGGGAATAGATTTAGGGTTTCCTCCACTGCTGCGATTGAGGAAGCTGACGCTGGCGGGCGACGAAGAAGAAGAAGTGCAACGCGAATCGAAGAGAATCTCAAGGTTTCGTTGTCTGCCGGCGAGGGAAACTGACTGCGATGGCGGAAACGCGCGACTTCAATGCGACGGGGAAGGGGAAGACTCCCAGTTTTCAACGCGACTTCAACGCGTCTTCAACCCGACTTCATCTCTCCCTGCTCTCTGCTCTCAGGGTTTGATCGAAAATGGCGAAGGGGAAGAGCTCGGAAAGAGCTCGAGGAAGGAGAAGGGTCTGTAATGGAAACAAATCAATTTTGATTTGTTTAAGTGGCCTCTGGTCTGGTTAGGTGGGTTAGGGTTTGTTTCTGGGTCGGGTTGGGTTAATGGATTGGGTTGGGTTTATTACGTGGCGGGTATAGTGACGTGGCGGGTCGGGTTTGGTCATTTCCGTCCCAAAACGGCGCTGACTAGGCGCTCACGTTAGCCACGTCAGCACATAACGGAGTTTTTTAACGGAGTTGGACGGCAACTAACGGCGAGTGACTAAGCGTGTCCTGTTTTAGTAATTTTAGTGACCAAATTTGATATTAAATTTTTACAGTGACTAAACATGTCCTAATTTAGTAATCTCAGTGACCAAATATGTCTTTAACCCCAATTGTAAGATATGAATCTCCAAAGTAGGCACCATGAAACTGTTTTTACACTGAAACAACAGATTAGGTCGACCTTATCCTATATAAGGTCGACCGAAAATTACATGTCACCATGACATGCATGTCACCGTAGCAAATTCCCATAATATGACATAAAGCAAGATAAAGATTGGGCTCCAGCTAAGCTGGGGCTTTAACTATAGCAACACTTGGGCTCGTTAAGTCCACTAACCAACTTTTCGGATCCTAGAGCCCGACCCAGGAACGTCGGCGGGTTAGGGCTTCAAAATGGCCGATGGACGAAGTAGAGAGGAAGCTTAAGCTCTACTGCTACTCAACTGGTTTGTTCACCTTCTACAATCTTCCCTTTTCCGCTCTTCTCCAACACTCGCAGCTCCGTCGTCGCCGTTGAAGCGGCGCAGGAAACCAAGAAGAAGGAAGCGCCGCCGGAAAAATGGCGCTAGCTTTCGACGAATACGGGCGCCCGTTCATCATAATCAAGGAGCAGGAGCAGAAGACTCGATTGAGAGGTCTCGATGCGCAGAAGGCCAACATTTCCGCCGGTAGGTCTGTCGCTCGGATCCTCCGCACTTCGCTCGGTCCCAAGGGGATGGACAAGATGCTCTCCAGCCCCGACGGTGACGTCACCATCAGTGAGTATCCTTGTCCTCGCTTCGCTCGTTCTTCTCGCTTTCTAGTTCCGCTATCGAGTTAGATTGCATAGGGTCTTGGGGTTTCGCTTTTCCTTACTTCCGATCCGCTGATTTGATTGTCGTAGTCGTGTGTTTGCGCGCGTCTTTGTTTCGTGTATGCCTACTTCTCTTCGAATAGCAGCTCAGGGTTTAAGGTTTGTTCGCGGATCTCTGTGGATCATTGTTAGTGACTGGAGGCCGTTGGAGTTTGAGCTAGAATAGAAGTTGATTTGATGTGGTAGGATTTCTTTTCTTGGTTGCACACGATTATTTTGCTTGACAGAGTCTTTTTTCCCTTCTTCTGTTTCCAGCCAATGATGGTGCGACAATCTTGGAGCAGATGGATGTAGACAATCAAATCGCCAAGCTCATGGTGGAGCTATCTAGGAGTCAGGACTATGAGATCGGTGATGGGACTACTGGTGTTGTGGTCATGGCTGGAAGCCTTCTCGAGCAAGCTGAGAAGTTGCTAGAGCGTGGGATTCATCCCATTCGAATTGCAGAGGGATATGAGCTTGCGTCTAGAATAGCTGTTGAGCATTTGGAGCGTATTGCTCACAAGTTCGAATTTGGAGAGAACAACATAGAGTCGCTTGTTCAGACTTGCATGACTACTTTATCTTCAAAGATGTAAGTAACTGGCCAAAGCTGATTCTTTTTCTTTTGCTTGAAAATCAGTTTGGTTACGGTTTCTTCTTGCTATCATGGGTGTTCGTATAGGAATGTTATAGCTTTTTAAATGCTAGGAAAGGTAAGGTTCTTTTCTTGAATTTTCTTCGTGTCTTTGTTTTTGCAGCGTGAACAGATGCAAGCGCCAGTTGGCCGAGATTTCTGTTAAGGCCGTCCTTGCTGTGGCAGATTTAGAAAGGAAAGATGTGAACTTGGACTTGATAAAAGTTGATGGGAAGGTTGGTGGGAAGTTGGAAGATACTGAACTGATTTATGGAATTGTTGTTGACAAGGACATGAGTCACCCACAGATGCCCAAGCAAATTCAAGATGCAAACATTGCTATTTTGACATGTCCCTTTGAACCCCCGAAGCCAAAGACCAAGCATAAGGTGGACATTGACACAGTAGAGAAGTTTGAGGCTCTACGCAGGCAAGAGCACCAGTATTTCGATGATATGGTTCAACAGTGCAAGGTATAGTTGTTTGTCCAGTTAGAAGCATCATGTAGCTTTGGTTGAGGGAATTGCTCATCTTATCTAGTAGTTACAAACTTTCTTTCCGGAAATTGATGTAACAGGATGTTGGTGCAACTCTGGTTATCTGCCAGTGGGGATTTGACGATGAGGCAAACCATTTGCTGATGCACAGAAACCTTCCTGCAGTACGTTGGGTTGGTGGAGTGGAGCTAGAGCTGATAGCCATTGCCACAGGTTGAGTGTTTCTTCAGAATTCTTCACAAGCTATTCTATCGTTTTTGTGTAATGTACATTGCTTTTGACAAACCGTGCTCTCTTCGCGTATAGGTGGCAGGATTGTTCCAAGATTCCAGGAGTTGACAGCTGAGAAGCTAGGAAAGGTATGTTTTTCATTTGGGACATTGCTTGCTATGGATTGCACAAGTCTGAATAGAGAACCTGAAACCATGGACTGATTTGATTTCTTGAACTTCTTCCTCATTTATGCCATCAATTCTGCAGGCTGGTTTGGTCAGGGAGAAATCCTTCGGCACCACAAAAGATAGAATGCTGTACATTGAACATTGTGCAAATTCCAGGGCCGTTACTGTTTTCATCCGTGGGGGTGAGGATATTTGTTGGCTCCTATTATTCCTTTCCTTTATCATTCTTCTGAGCCATACTGATTTCCTAAATACTCCTACTTGATGCTCAACCAGGTAACAAGATGATGATAGAAGAGACCAAGCGAAGCATCCACGATGCTCTGTGCGTTGCAAGGAATCTCATCCGCAACAACTCCATCGTTTACGGTGGTGGCTCGGCTGAAATTGCTTGCTCAATTGCTGTAGAAGCTGCCGCGGATAGATATCCTGGAGTTGAGCAGGTGGGCTGCCATTTCCTCCTCCCTTCACAGAACTTCTTGTTTTTCTTCTTTTCTCCTATATACTAATAGCTTTAATTTTCCTACTTCAGTATGCCATTCGAGCATTCGCAGATGCTTTGGACGCTATCCCTATGGCACTAGCAGAAAACAGTGGACTACAACCCATTGAGACTCTATCCGCTGTGAAGTCCCAGCAAATCAAGGTAACTTGATAAACATTTCTCTATAGCTTTCTACGGTACATCACCTACCGTTTACACAATTGCCGCGATCTTAAATTTCCCCTTAATATACCTACGCGGGTGATGCAGGAGAACAACCCCCACTGTGGTATTGACTGCAATGACGTTGGGACGACGGACATGCGTGAGCAGAACGTGTTCGAGACCTTGATAGGGAAGCAGCAGCAGGTTTTGCTTGCAACACAGGTAGTCAAGATGATACTGAAGATCGACGATGTCATCTCTGCCGCTGAGTTCTAGTCCACCAGGTTTTGTTTTGTTTTCCTCGTAGTCAGAACTCAGAAGTGTGTTTAATTTAGCCTTGATTACAATGTGGTTCAATTGGTGGGAGAGTGCTGTTCTGTACTTTTGTTTGTTACTCTTGCTTTGGCCTTCACTGGTTTTATCATGTATGTTGGCATCAGTCTTTAGTTTATGTACGCAGGGACAAGTGATGTACTTCAGGAACTGGCATGACCCTGAATTTTGTTTCTTGTGGTTAATTTAGTTTATCATGACTCATGAGTTGCCTTGTCGATTGAAGTATTTCTGTCTCTGGGCCATCAGTGTAATGTCATTAAGCCGTTTTATTGCGCCAGTAGTTCAAAACGATAGTTCGTCGTGAACGGTTTTGGCAAAGGCTCAAAGCAAAGGGAGACAGGCTAGTTGGAGGGTAGGATGCCCTTAGGTAGGTCGAGGGTAGGGTCGTTAATGACCCGAGCTTTGTCTTGTATAAACGAGCTGAGTCGAGTCAAATACGAGTCAATTTATTGATTAAATCTTGACACATCATTAAGATTGAAAGTTCGGCTCGACCTCAATTCTAAGATAATTTATAATATAAATACCTAATATTTATGTCATATGTGATATCTGTGATTACCTAATGTTATGGCATATAAATCACATAATGTTATGGTGAGACGTATTTGCTTACATATACTCAATGTATTAATTACCATATGAGGTTATATATACAATTTAATAATTATATGCATCATTAACAAACCAACTCATAAAATATAGATTGATTCTCATAAACTGTAGTCGAGTTGGGTCTCTAGTCACAATATTGGGACATTTCATTAGCTCAAAACGAGACAGTTCATGCGTTGTATCAACAAGCCACCTAATCGAGCTAGTTCACGAGCTTCACTAGCTTTTTTAATCGAACGAGCTTTTATTGAGTTCGAGACCGAGCCGCTCACGAATAGCTCGATTCATTAACAACCCTAGTCGAGGGTAGGAGATACTTATCAAGGAGGCCAACAACTTTAGGGTCGTTTGGAATAGGAAATCTGAGCATTATCATTTATAAGAGATTTTGTCACAATCCTTTGTTTGGATATAAAAAAATGTGAGGGTTTTAAGTGATCAGGAATTTCGAAATTCCTAATATTAGAGATTTCAAAATAGTGATGAACCAAAATGCTCTCAAGTCTCAACCAAAATTCCTACTGTTTCATCACCTTCAAGCGCTTGCTTTTTCTCCTGCTTCCATTCATGGAGCCTTCACAATCTATAAATCAATCTTTATTTCCCCAATGGTTGTCACTCCGGTCGGCGTGCCACCGATTGTATCTGGTTCAACCGGTACCGGTCATAAAACCGGCATGATATCACCGGTATGACCGGCATGATCGATATACGTATCTCTAAGTAAAATGACATTATTTTAGTGAATTTAATTAATAAAATTATTTTATTATTTATTTTATGAGTATAAAAGTTAAATATTGATGTTATTTGTTGGATTCAAGTATAAATGTTTAGGTATTGACGTTAAATGTCATGTTTAAATATGAGTATTTATAATTTTATTTGTAATATTGACCGGCATGAACCGGCACAAACCGGTATATGCCAACGGTTGAACCATTCCACTTGCTAAACCGGCACACTGGCATAAACCGGTTTGACAACCTTGCCCCAATCCCATTACCCTATACCAAAAACGTTAAACAAAGAGGCAATGAATCCCACAGACAATAGCCTAATAAATGGAAACAAGGGTCGCGTCTACAAGGTAGGACCTGGAGACCACCACATGGAAGAAAGAAGCATAAGAGAGGAGAGCTAATGTGGAGACCAGAAAATGAAACAACCAATCAATGGAAAGTGGGCATCCAACGGGTAAAAAAAGCAAATCTAAAGTTCAGAAGGGAGAGATAGGCTATAATGCTACTTTCCTCTCTCTCGATTACCCCCTCCTCAGTCCTCACAACAGAGACAAACGGATCAGACCGACGAGACGTCCGAGCTCAGGTGGGTAAGTCTATTAGCAAGGAAGGAGGGCAAGCCCCATATCATTGCAACCTGCATGGAGGCGGAACAACAGAGAGCACTACCCTTATCACCATTAATGCTCTCACAGACAGAGAAGGAGAGAAGGATAGCCGTCCAAATCAACAAATCACCCATGTAAGCCGGGATCTCCATCTGCATAAGGATCTCTGGACTTGCCAGACACCCAAGAGAGGAAGCATTAAGAGTGAAATGACACCCACTAGGCATACTTCTCAAGGCTGGTTTGGCTATAAAAAGGAAAATACAAGGCCACCCTTCAGGCACCATCTAAGCGGGGGGTGTCACAATCATGAAGATGACAACCTCTTCGTCTACTCTTTCGAAACAGAGGCACATAGAGATTACCCAGAACATACCATGGAACATAGGAAATACCCTGGTGGCAGTCAAGAAATGGGATGGAGAGGGGAATGCAAAAGATGTGGACTTCTCCGCAGTTACTATGTGGCTGCAAATGCACGACCTTCCCCTGTCAATGAAGCACGAAGCAACCATCGAAGCAGTAGCTTCTTTTGTGTTCCCACAATTCCATGGAATTGATAGATCCAACATCGAACACAAATGATGGAGGAAGTTCATCAGAGCTCAATTGGAGGTCAAGATTGAGGATTCAATCCCAATCGGGTTTGAGTACCCCAGTTGGAAAGGTCAGTATGGGTGAGCTTTAAATATGAGAGAATCACAGATTTGTGTTATTTCTGTGAAAATCTAGGACATCTGATACAAAATTGCTTGACAAGAGAAGAATGTCGAAGGAAGGGATTCAACAATGAGGCGTCGGAGGTCTACATGGCAGTTCTGAAAGCGGGTCATGATTCACCAACGAACACCTCACCGGCATCATTCCGGCGCCGCCTCACCATGCAGATGGAAGAAAGTAAGAGGAGAGGGTTCGAAATCCGAGGAGGCCAGGAGGTGTCAGCCCAGTTGACTCAGGCACCAACCAACCGCAGTCTGCATATTTATTGCCCACCGGGTTTCGAGAACTGTATAGGGGGGCTTTCTTCAGCAATCCCAGGGGCCCAACTTATATTCCATGGGGATCAGAAAAAGTTCTGGACAACTTCTACCAACCACATAGGCTTGAGGAAGATCCGGAGAAGGTGACGGAAGCGATACAAACCAGTCTGCTGCTGAATGATGAAGAGCCCATTGGGAGCAAAGAAACGGGGGAGAAGGAGAGAGACCAGGACCAGTTGGGGCTTCTGGAGATGGGCCAGCAACTCTCACTAGCTGGGCCAAGTGACACCGTTCAGCAAGCTAGCCCAAAGACCACAAAAACTCCTCCACAGTTGAGCATTATGGGATCCATAATTCAGGAGGCCAAGTATGCGGTCCAACTGATTAGTGGACTCCTAAGTGAGGAGAACCTTGCCAGCACAACAAAGAAAAAGAAAGCAGACCAGCAAACGACGACAGAGACAATCTCGCCGGAGATTTCATCATCTACTAACATGAGTGTTGATTCTCTTGTGTTTAATCCAGGAAAGGGAGAGCATGGGAAGGCAAAGAAGAAACAAGTTTACCGGCGAAGGAGGCTGACAACAATCATGGCAGAATGGAATCAAGCCGAGGAAGGGCAGAGTCCGAACTAGAGGGCAGTGGTGGTGAGCCTTAAGCCACCTCCTCAGGAATGAGGCTCATGAGCTGAAATTGTAGAGGATTTGGCCAATCCTTACAAGACGCTACTGCAAGAACTTTTGTCGCAGATTTGGGCCGTCAATCCTGTTTCTTATGGAGACGTAACAAGAAGAAAGCTTCATGGAAGGAAAAAGGGAAGGGTTGAAATTTTCAAATAAGGAGTATGTTAATTCTAGTGTAGGTGGTAGTGGTCTGGCGCTGTGGTGGAGAGAAGATGTTTCAATCAGGGTGATTGACACTTCTCAAGTTTACATTGATGTATGTATTAATTGGGAGAATAGGGAATTCTTCTGTACTTTTTGTTCGCGCTCCTACCACGGTGGTAGAGAGACGTGCTCTCTGGGATCACCTCACCCACTTGAGAGAGAGCCAAGAGGAGGAGTGGTTGCTTGTAGGAGATTTCAATGTAGTGTTGTGTGATTTCGAAAAACAAGGGCAGTGCCCGATAAGAAATGAGAATAGGGCTCTGTTTAAGTACTTCATTGAGCAGAATGGGTTGATTGATTTGAGATTCAATGGGTCGGTTTTCTCGTGGAAGAATATGCAAAGTGGAATTAATTTGATTATGGAAAGGTTGGATCGCGCCTTGTGCCCGACGTCATGGGGTTACACTTTGATAAAGCTAGTGTTTTTCATGAGATGTTTGTTGAATCAGATCACCGCCCCCATTTGAGTTGACCTGAATCTGCATGAGGACCGAACCGAATCACCGTTCAGATTTGATAAAATGTGGAGATTTGAAGAGGACTGCAACCTCATCATTACGAGCACCTGGAATCGAGGGGGCGATCGGAGTAGTATCCTTGATGAATGTGGACATCAACTAGGAAGGTGGGCAAAAGAGAAGCGTAGACTTGTTGTTAAGAGGGAAGTGGAGATAAAAAAACGGATTGAACATATCGTGAAGTTGAATGATGACAGTCACCATGGCGAGGAAAAGACAACACTGTTGAATGAGCTGAATCTGATATGGGAAAAGGAGGAGGAGTATTGACAACAGGTTTTTAGAGTCAGTTGGCTTCAAAAAGGAGACCAAAACACTTTCTTTTTCCATGTCTCTTGTATCAAAATAAGATTTTCGAACAGAATTTTAAGATTGAAGAATGACCAAGGGGAATGGATTGAGGATCAACCATCGCTTAGAATGTGGGCATCCACTTTCTACCAGAATCTGTTTACTGCTAAGGATCCAAACTCACTGAGCTTTGATCTAAGTGGGTTCCCTCAGTTGGTTCATGATGAGATGAACATGACGCTCACCGAACCACTAGAAAATGATGAGATTAGGAGAGCTGTCTTTGCCATGGGCCCTTCGAAATTCCCATGTCCGGATGGTTTTTCTGGCCATTTTTTCTGTCGGTTTTGGAATGTGTGTGAAGATCAATTCTGTGATGAAATCAAGAGATTTTTTCAGGATGCTAAGCTGGCTGATGGATGGAATGATACTTCATCACCATCATACTAAAGACTAACGCTCCTGACTCCCTTGGACAGTTTTGACCTATCAGCTGCTGTAATTTTCGTTACAAAGTTATTACAAGGCTACAGGTCTGGATGCCCTCCCTAATTTTAGAGCTCCAGGCTGCTTTTACAGGAGGAAGATAGATCCAGGACAATTTAAGTTTTTAACC